CATGTATCTCTTTATGCCTATGGTCCTTAATCTCCTCAATTATTATTACTATATTTAAGCCCGTGCAATGCACGGGTTTTTATTAATAGTTAAATTTAATATTTAATATTCAATCGTAATAACAAAATATTAATATATAATATTACTATTTTTTTTTAATATTATACAATTAAAGTTTACACATATATAAATACGGTATATTTTGTAAATTATTTGTTTAAACAACCATACAAACCAATCCTTGAAGAAAAATAGAAAAATATAAACCAATCCTTGAATAAAATATGTGAAACTGTAATCTTCCAAGCTTCCATCATCCTTTGTAAATCAATCGTTGATCGTGCCAGTTGATAAGTTGCATAATTAAACCCGCCCCCTTGCAAAATTAACACTTATGTTCATCACATGGGACATCAGATGAGTTTATCTAGGATTTAAAAAATATTGGATTTCAAATGGTGATAAGTTTATTATCAGATATGATAAATTTTGTAAATGTAGAATTTAATCTTTTAGACAAATAAATGATAAATAATGAACATGTTTTTATTTTTATTATTAATTTTTTTTTTTGCCAGAAAAAGAGAAAGGATATATTTTTAATTTCAATGACTTTTCTTATTTTTTGTATCTATTACAAAACTGATTTTTTTTTTGAGAGAAAACTATTTTTTTTTTAATTGAACGTGATTTCATTTTTTTAATTATTATTTTTATATAAAATATTTTATTATAATCACTTGTCATATTTTCATTATTTTTTTTTATCTAAATCCAATTTTTTTTTTTAAATATCAATTGAACGTAAATTTCATTTTTTAAGTTTAATAGTATTTCTTTTATATATACGAAATAAAATAAATTATTTCTTTTCTCTTAGATAAAATTCCCAATTTAAAAATATTGTATCTTATTTTTATAATTAATTTAAACCTTTAATTTTAATCTTATGTGGCGCTTTAAAAATAATAATCCTACGTGGCATAATCTTACACGTTACGCTCTAAAAATACTAATCCTACATGGTGCTCTAATAATTTTTTAAAAATCAAAATTGTGCGTGGCTCTCTAAAATCTCGAGAAAAACTCTCCTTTATATATATACACTAGTTTTGTGCCCCGTGCGATGCCCAGGTTGTTTATTGAATTTTAAGATAAATTTTTTTATCTAAATTACATATGTTATTTGAATTTTCTCCCATGGATTAATAATCACTTAGACAATCTTACTCGTAAACTAAAAAATATAGCAATACCTCTCATAAAGATGTTGGTGGTTTTAAGAAAGAGTTTGGGCTGATAGTTCTTGAAAGCGACGCAAGTAGCATGGTCAGAGCAATCAGAATAAATCAGTTTGGAGTTGCACCTATTTTCATATTATTGGATGAAATTTCTAAAATAAGTTGTGATTTTATTGTCTTTTATTTTAGCAAGATGGGAGATCAATATGAATTCAGAATACTTACGTATGATTTCCTCTAAAGTCTTCAAATTTTGGCGAATCTTGATTTATTTTAAAGTTTGAAATATTTGTTAAGTCCCTTATTAAAGTCTTCAAACTTACGTATGGGATATCTGTAATTTAAAGTTTGAAATATTTGTTAAGTCCCTTATTAAAATATATTATAGAAGTAAATGGATTTATTTTGAAGTAACGAATATTAGGATATATAATAGAATAATAAATTTATAAGATAATTATTAAACCGCGTGTGGTTGGCCACACCATATGGCCGGTTGTAATAATTACGAACAAAGTAACCCCTATAACACTGATCGAGTAATCCCTATAACACTGACGAAGTAACCCATGTAACACTGACAAGTAATCCCTGTAACACTGACCGTGTAGCCCCTATAACACTAACGATGTAACCCCTATAATGCTAATCGAGAAAACCCCATAACATTGACTGAGTAAACCTATAAAATTGACGGAGTAACCCCTATATAACACTAACTAAGTAACGTCTGTAACACTAACGAAGTAACCCTCACTATGGCTAGCCACACATAAGAATGTGTGATCATTGAAAGTTATAAATTAACATTTTTTATTTTTGAATAAAGCTATACCGTAATTTAAAGAAAGCAAATATTAAAGTAGAAAGTTGGGTTTGGCAGAAGTGTAATGTAGGGCCGTAGAAGTAGTAATGTAGAACTAAAAAGAACGGTTGTCTAAAGCTGTGATCTCTTTTCATTTTCTCTAAACATTTAGAGAGAGGCTGATTGCATGTTAAGACTTACGGAGAACGTTTATATATAATAACAAGTCAATTTGATTTGTTTTTTTTTTGCTTTTATACCTCTTTGGATCCGCCATCTGTATAGAAATATTGGTACGTTGTAGAAAATAAAATTCTAAACCAAAAGTTTTATTGAAAATAAAAATCTAAAATAACTTTTTTATCCTACTAAATCTATCCAAATTTTATTGAATATAAAACTCTAAAATAACTTTTTTATCCTACTAAATCTATACAACTTTTATCCTATCCTTTTCTATAAAAAATATATTCAAATAAATCCTACGTGTCATACTAATAATTAATTGTCGCCTACATGGCGCGACACTTCGCAAAAAGTTGGAATGTCAAGTGTCGTTGTCTCGCGGTTTGGCTAAAAGTTTAGCTTTATATATTAGTTACTAGTTTTGTGCCCGGGAGATGCCTAGATTGTTGATAAAATTTTATGATAAACTTTTTGGCTTAAATGTTAAATACGTCAATTTGGACCTACAATATCATATAACTTATATTTATATAATAGTGCACTTCTGTAATATTTGTGTGTGTGTGTGTGTGTGAATAGGTATCTATATTATTAATGACTTGAAATTTTTGTTATTGAACTAAAATTATTTCTATTGAAGTGAAAATATTTTTATCAAACTAAAATTAGATTAAAACTTATTTTTATTGATTCTCTATTACTTTTTAAATAAATTAAATATATTATAATGTATCTTATTTTAAATAATTTTTTGAAACAAATTTTATGATGGAAATAAAACCGAGTTATAGGATATTTATTAATAATCTTTATTAATTTTGCATATATGAAATATAAGAAGTATATCGACAATAAACTCTATACATTTTTATCTTAAAAAATTTATCCAAAATTGGCTTAGTTAGAATCATATACATCACAATAATATCTATTTATCGCTTATATGGCTTGACACTTGGGGAAAAACTAAAATACCAAGTGTCGCTGTCTCGTAGGCTGGCTGCGAGACCGACTTTATTTATTAGTAATATGAATAATATTAGATTATTATTATTATTATTATTATTATTATTATTATTATTATTATTATTATTCACAAACTTATAAAAAATTATTCACCCCTTTTTTTATTTTTTTTTTATTAACGCCTCAACAAGCTCCACTTACAGAAAAAGGGAAGGAGTATAAAACTTTGATACAGTCTCGGTTCCATAATACCTTTTTATATATAATACCTAATCGCAGTATAATTATAGTAGCTATTAGCTTAATCATCATTATTAGATACGAACTGCAATTTATACAATTCCTCATTTAGTCATCATTGACTTTTACTAGTAGCTCACGATGGAGGAGTAGTAAGGGAGTGAGCAGATCAAGATAATATATTTGCTTTGTGTGGAAGAATCCCATGCACATTATATACACTTGGATCATCTTAGGGATTTAGACCATTCTCAGCAATTGATGCTTGGGAATTTGTCTTAAAACCATCTTCATTGGTGAGACTCAACTTTGAGTATTGAAATACAAAATGAGTTATTTTTTTATCTCCAATGGTGATCAATCTATTTTTCAATTTAGCAATTCAATAGATTGACTGAAATACGGAAAAACAAAAAAAAAAATAGCATTGAATGTGGTCTAATTTCTCAATGGTGAGACTCTTTAAAGTATACTAATATCCTTTTCAATTTATGGCCCACTAAATCCATATTGTAAGTTTTTCAAAAAAAAAAAAAATGAAAAAAATAAATAAATAAAATTAAAACTTAAATAAATTACAAAATATATTATAATATTAATAAAAGGCCCACACTTTTTGTCAAATGAGACTCAAAGTTGAGTATCTAAACTTAACAACTTTCTTTTGGAGTTGCTAAATTTAGATACCAACTTATTGGTATCCTTCGCAAAAAATAATCTCTCCTAAAAAAACTCCCTTTAAGTCTTACATTAAAAATGGTCTAATAGTGACTTCTCTAGTGCGGCCTGCTTTAACTTTTTAAGAATTTGTCTTTTTTTTTCATGTAACAAGTGTACAAGACAATTAAAAAAGTTGACACGGAAACTAAATTTTTGTAAACACTTGTATTTCATCAAAAGTTACTAATCTAATAAAATTCCAAGCAATAAAGTTTTATATAAGACGTTACATTGATTTTTATCGTAAAATGGTTAATAAAAGTGTAATAACATTTTTTTTATAGTAATTTAAATCTATTTAAGAGTAACTTTTAATTTGTAATGAGTTTAATTTTGTTTAATGTGTATTTTCTTCTAATGAATACATTTTAAAAAGGTTATATCATTAATCTTATGCATTATAAGTGTTTATTTAATAGTAAAATTTATGTTAGGAATATGTAAGTTTGTATTATGATAGGGTAATTTTATATACTGTTAGGGCAACTTTAACCCGTCATAATAAAAAATTTGTGAATTATTAAAAATTTCTTTAAGTTATTTGCTTATTTCAATAGAAAATTGAAATTCCCATGAATTATGATTGATCAAGATATTCTTAATTGGTAATTTAATTTGTACTTCCTTGGTTCTTTTTTACTTGACCTGTTTCTTTTATCACGCTTGTCAATGCAAAACTTTAACAATCAATAACTTTAATTCTCTATAAGTAAAAATTATAAAAGTTATATATTATGATAGTACTTATTGAGACAAATTCAAAAAAATCCCACATGAATATATTTTTTATTAAATATTATTCACAAAAGACGGTCAAAGGAAAGATCATGAATAGTGTAAAAGTCAAAGCTGATCAAGTAAAAAAGAACGGAGAAAGTATGTTTCGTGGGAAGTTAAAATTTCAATTTATTTCAGCTTCCTCCAATTTTTTGGCTTTTTATGTCTATCAAACGACTATTCAAATCAACAATTCCTCCTAAAAAAAAAAAAAAACTTTGTACTACTTCTAGAATATAGTAAAATTTTACTCTCTATTTACGTATAGTATTATATTATATATATACTCCTCCCTGTAGCATTTGTATAATACAATCTTCTTCCTATCTTCTCACTACTCCATCTTTAAAAAACAAATGGAGCTGGTGCTTGTACCAACACCAGGAATGGGCCACCTTCTCTCCGCCGTAGAATTAGCCAAACGCATCCTCGACCGCGACCACCGCATATCGATCCTCATCCTCATCTTCAACAACATCCCCATGAGTTCCCAAACGCTCAACTCCTTCGTCGATTCCCAATCACGTGACAATGCTCACCCTACTCGCCTCACCTTCTATTCTTTACCACCCCTTTCCAACCCTCCTGACCCCACCTCCCCCAACTTCTTTCAAACACTCATCAGCCTCCATAAACCACTCGTTAAAACTGCTGTCGAGGACAAAGTCAAGGCCGGCAGCCTTGCCGGGTTTGTCCTCGACATGTTTTGCACTACCATGATTGATGTTGCTGATCACTTCATGGTCCCCTCGTATATTTTCTTCACTTCCGGAGCTAGTATGTTAAATCTTTTATTTCACTTCTTTATGTTGGAAGATGATCAAGGGGTTGACATCGCTGCTAAACTCAACGACCCGGATATCGAGTTCGATGCAGCCGGATTCGTTAACCGGGTCCCCGGGAAAGTCGTCCCTGAAGGGTTAGTCAGCAAGGAATTTGGGTCTTTCAGGTTTCTTGATCAATTTTGTGAGTTTAAAAAATCCAAGGGTATAATAGTAAATACGTTCACTGAGCTTGAAACGTTTGGTGTACAGTCTTTGTTCGATCAAGCGAGTAAGAATGGTATGCCGGCATTTTATCCTGTGGGTCCCATCTTGGAGCTCGATACTAAGCACCGGGGTGGGCACCGAGTTGATGATGAGGAGTCCATTATAAAATGGCTAGATGATCAACCTTCATCTTCGGTAGTGTTTCTCTGCTTCGGGAGCATGGGAAGCTTCGATGAGGAACAAGTGATAGAGATAGCTAACGGCCTAGAGAAGTCCGGACATCGGTTCTTGTGGTCCTTACGAAAACCACCACCCGAGGGTAAACTTGGACTTCCAAGTGAGAACGAAACATTTGAGGAAGCATTACCTGAGGGCTTTCCAGACCGCACGGCTGAAAGAGGGAAAATTATAGGGTGGGCACCACAAGTCTCGATCCTAGGCCATAAGGCCTTAGGAGGGTTCGTGTCACATTGTGGTTGGAACTCGACATTGGAGAGTTTGTGGTTTGGGGTGCCTATGGCTACATGGCCGTTGTACGCGGAGCAACAATTGAACGCGTTTGAGCTAGTGAAGGAGCTTGGACTAGCAGTGGAGATTAGGATTGATTATCGACGTGATTGGAAGACTAGGAAAGGTAACTTTAAGGTGACCGCGGAGGAGATTGAGAATGGGGTGAACAAGTTGATGAGTTTGGATGAGGAGACGAAGAACAAAGTAAGGGAAATTAGTGACAAAAGTAGAAATGCATTAGAAGATGGTGGTTCATCTCATAAAAGGTTGGGTCAATTTATTGAAGATGTTTTGAGCAACGTTGCTTAAAGTCTTGTGTGTAATTGTCTATTATTATCATTTGTTTATGATATTTGTATTAATCATGTACTTTGTATTAGATTGTTATCCATGTTCAATTTATCAAGCCGTATGTTTTCTATTGCAAACTAATTGCATTTAGTTAATGTAAACCTTAACTTACTACTCTAGTTACCGTATACATTATCTATCATATTGTTTTTTTTTTTTTTTTTAACAATTAAATCATCTATCGTATCATTCATATGTTATATACAGTACTTTGTATTTCAGTATTTCTTTGTATGATATAATTGACAATTAATAGTACAATTAGTACTTACTGAGTTGTTATTGGTTCATGTCGAGTTTATAATTAATTATTAAATTGAACAATGAAAATTAATTTATAACGCAACGACAGTAACATAACCAATTTATTTATGTAGGTGGATCGTGGAAACACGTATACTATGCTGATAATAATGTAAAAATTTTCTAGCACAGCCTTTATTTCTTTTTTCGAAAGCTAGCACAGCCTTTACTTTAAAAGGTCTTATTCATTCATTTGTTTGTTTCTTGTTTGGAGTATATGGTTGTAACTTTCAAGCAAAACGTAATCTAGAAGGCCTCTATTTATATTATTAAATAGTTCCTCTGTCTCATAATATAGTTCCTATTTTCCTATTTTGGAGATTCAAAATGTTGTTCTTTTTTCCATTTTTGAATAGTATGTAAAGATCATTATATCCTCATTTTTTTAACTTTATTCATTGTACTTTCTAAATTATCCTTGAATCTTACAAGTCTTGTACTTTTTTCTCTTTCTCTCTCTAACTTTTGTCTATAATTGTACTTTTCACTTTTATTAATGTATTTCATTCACTTTCTCTTCCTATTTCTTAAATATCGTGAAAAAACACAAACAGGTACTATATTATGGGACGGAGGCAGTACCTGGTTTTTCGTGGCACAGATTTGTACTCCGTACTTGTGATAGTTGTGAACACCTTTGAATTATTTGTTTTAAGCACCTATGATATTGACTATATATTTGGCAAAGCTGACGTGTAGCGAGTCGAGTAGCACACTACTAGAATTCGGTCAAATTGTAATCATTTTTCTACAACCGTCATTAAAGCGGGCGCAAAATATGAAATTTGCGACCGATTTTTATGCAGTCGCAGAATTACGACTGTTTTCAAAGCGGTCGCAGATTTGCAACCGTTCTGCGACCGACATTCAGCTATTAAACCTTCGCAAAGGTGGTTAAACATATTTTTTAATTAAAATACGTGTGTAAAATAATTTAAAATAAAAATAACCCAGTTGCAACCGCTTTCGCAAATTGTACAAATTGCGAGCCTCTGCTTGAATAAGCCTTCTTTTTAGAACGGGTAGGGAACCTGAAGTCTGGCAGAAAATCCGAATCATAGTTAGCAGTTTGAATAGAACCGGTATCGTAGCGGGAAGCAAGGCAATGAGACTTCCATTTTTTCTTTCGTCGAACCACGAGCTTGTGGTCCTCCTTTGAGTGTGGGCCGCCTCCAGGCGGGCCATCGGGCTTCCCCTTCGGGGTGTACAAGAACGACTTTCATCTGGACTTTCCAGATGCTGAAATTAATCTTGCCGTCAAATTTCTCAATCTCGAACTTCGTGAATGAAGACATCTTTAATGTGTATACACTCTAATCAACCTTTGGCTCTGATACCACTTGTTAGGGTTGGTGAGTGCACAGCAGAAGCGAAGATGTGTTTGATTGAGAAGTATAAATTGAATTGATAATTTGGCAAGATAATTAATATAAATGAACACACGATTTTATGTAACAACGAGCAATTTTATTCCACTATTTGAAAGTAGGAGAGTATAAGAACCCTTGAGGGTGATTATTACAAGAGAACTCTCACTATAAGAAACTTACAAGGCGTATTATGATAGTAGTGGAATATTACAAGGAGGGAGAATAATTTTGTAGAAAGGCTTGTGTTTGGTATGGCTTCTTGTGTTGTGTTGTTGTTGTTTTGATTGAATGCCCTTGACCAATATTTATAGGTGATGATGGAGGTTTCTAGATTCTTATGGAAATTTCCCCATAATTATGCCTCTTATTCTAGTGGCTTCCACTTAATATTCTAGGGAATATTAAGATTATAGATAACTCTAGAAAAATCAAGTGCAATCTTCTCTTGATTTTTCATGAAACTTCTAGATTATACTCCATTGATATATAATGGGCTTATAAAATTTGGGTCATACCCAACAAGTATCATTCTATCTACCTAGACTCTGTTTGGTGGTAGCGTTTGAGATAGTGATTAGTGTTTTGACCAGTAAAAACACTACTAGAAAAAAAAAGCAAAATAAGAGTGTTTGGCAAGGTAGCAGTGTGAGTACCGATTAGCGGTAGAAGTAGCGTTTAGGTAGCTTTTTCCAAACATTAAAAATAGTAGAGTTTAAGTGTAGCGGGTAGCGTTTGTTAATTTTTGGTTACCTTTTGTTGTAACGTGGTGGTCGTTATTCATTTGGTAACAAAAATACATTATTACAACTGGTTGACGGTCGCAATAAATTTGCGACCGTTTCTTTTATTTTCAACGACCGGTACTAAAACGGTCGCAAATGTTATAAATTGCAACTGGCACAGTAGCGGTCGCAAAAATGAAAAAATGCGACGGCTATAGGCGGTCGCTAAAAGTTTATTAAAAAAAACTAGAAATTAACGAAACCCAGCCAAAATCAATCTAAATCAACCAAAAAACCCAGTAGATTTAAAACAAAATTACAAACCAAAATCAACTAAAAATTAAATCAACCCGAAAAGCAGAAATCAAACCAAAATTCAACCAAAATCAAACCAAAAATGTACAAACCACAATAATCAAACCTAAATCAACCAAAAAAACCAAAATTACAAACCACAAAAATCAAACCCGAAATAAAAAATTAACAAAACTCAAATCAAAGTTCAAAACGAAAATCAAGCCCAAAATTCAAAACGAAAATCAAACGCAATATTAACAAAAATCAAACAAAAAAAATCAACCAAAAGCAGCCCAAAAATTAAACCCAAAACATATACCCACAAAAATTATACCCACAAAAATTAAACCCAAAAAAATCGACCAAAAAACGAAATAAAACCCACATAAATCGAAAATAAACATAAATAAGCAAAAAAATTAAACGTACATAAATAAAATTGAACACAAATTAAACCCACATAAATAAAATCGAACAAAAAATAAACCCGCATAAATAAAACCCACATAAATAAAATCAAAATAAAAAAAATTTTAACCCGCATAAATTTGACCAAAAAATCAAACAAATTAAAGAATGAAACAAAATCACAAAAAAAAAAAAACCTAAAACAAACAAAATTTTCAGAAAAATCAACATACTTTTCTCAATATGTTTTCCCCTTTGGATTTATATGGTCAAATTCAACCATGAAATCACCAGATTTGAAATTTTTATAGTCGAATTTGACCATGAACACCAAAATCTGATTGTTGCTCGTTGAATAACGCAAAATTCGTTTACTGCTCGGTGAAGAACGTAAGCAAAGATGAAAATTACGTGAGGAGGACAGGCGAGCTAGCGCTGGTGAAAATGAGAACGGGGAGAGGAGGAGAAGAGAAGAAAGGAAAGAGGAGAGAAGAGAGATAAAATAAAGAGGAGAGAGAGAGAATGAAGAGGAAGCAGTGTGAGAACTTAGAAGAAATTAGGGTTACGGTGAGTTGGCCAGTTTTATACCCTTTCTTGTACACAGCGGATTAAAGAAGGCTTTGGATGGAAAAGCTAAAAAACCAGAGTCAATGACAGACGAGCAATGGCAAGAGTTGGACGAAAAAGCCAACTCGGCAATCCAACAATGTTTAACCAAGGAGGTACTACGCGAGGTTGTCCATGAAGACACAGCAACCGGCCTATGACTGAAGTTAGAGTCACTATATATGACTAAAAGCCTCGCTAACAAGCTTCGAATTAAAGAAAGGCTTTATACAATTCGAATGGCCGAAGATACTTATATTCAAACTCATCTCGATGAATTTAATTCAATTATAATTGATCTTGAAAATTTAGATGTTAAAATCGAAGATGAGGATAAGGCCGTGTTATTAATTGTCTCCCTACCACCTTCGTATAAACACTTCAAGGAAAATTATGCTTTATGGAAATAGTGATACTCTTTCTTTTGAGGATGTTAAATCTCACTTACTTTCAGAAGAAAAGTTTGACCTTGAAGTTCCTTCTAATGAAAATGCCGAAGCTTTAAATATAAAAGGGAGATCACACGGTAGTAAAAGTACCGATAAGAAGTCCAAATTTAATGGACACAAATCCGGAAAATCTTGCAAGTTTTGCAAGAAACTTGGGCACATAGTTGAAGAATGCTGGTTTGCAAATAAAAAGCTCGAAAAGAAAGAGCAAGAGGAAAAGCCGAAAGAGACGGCAGAAGCCGATTTTGGAGAAATAGAGTCTGATGATGAAGTTCTTTTAGCTACTTCACCAAGAAGAAATAAAAATTCTGACTGGGTACTTGATTCGGGTTCTGCCGACCATATTTGTTCTCAAAAGTCTCACTTTACCGACTATCAGCCGGTGAAGAATAAAACTATTACAATGGGCAACGGTTATCATTGCAAAGTTCGTGGTGTTGGCTCCGTACGTATCGAGACGCAAGACGGTGTGATAAGGACTTTGTCTAATGTTCATCATGTTCCTGATCTGAAGAAGAATATCATCTCTCTTGGCATTCTGGACTCAAAAGGATATAAGATTTCGGCTCAAGGTGGAGCACTCAAAGTCTCCAAAGGTGCTCAAGAAATATTGAAGGCCATCAGACATAGAAATCTCTATGTATACAAGGATCTTCTATTATGGCTTCATCATACTTAATCCGGACTCGGCAACAACGCTCACATAATACGGGTCCAAGTAACATACGACGAGCGCACATATAAAATTTGGTCCAAGGTGGAGATTGTTGGGTATGGCCCAAATTTTATAATCCCATTATATATCGATGGAGTATAATCTAGAAGCTTCATGAAAAATCAAGAGAAGATTGCACTCGATTTTTCTAGAGTTATCTACAACCTTAATATTCCCTAGAATATTCTAGAGAATAATTAAAAGTGGAAGCCACTAGAATAAGAGGCATAATTATGGGGAAATTTCCATAAGAATCTAGAAACCTCCATCATCACCTATAAATATTGGTCAAGGGCATTCAATCAAAACAACAACAACACAACACAAGAAGCCATACCAAACA